GATAACGCAACAAATATTTAAAAAATAATATGGGAAATTATTTGATGGTAACCTTACAAAAATTCCTGGACATTTGTAAAAATATTCTAATATTTCCATAGCTATATATGAAACAGAACTTTGTTTTCTGAATAATGACAATTATTTTATAAAGAAAATAATATGTTAGGAGAACACATAGGATTATAAAAATACTTAAATCTAAAAATTCTAATACAGATTTTAGGTGTGTTATTGTTTGAGGGCTTTCTTTTTCGTAAGAAAGGAGATATATTTGAGTGCCATGTAACTTTCTAGCCTTGATCGTTCTGAATATGAAATCATTGTCACTGCATTAGCTGTGCTAGAGCTAGAGAACAAGCATATAGACAGGAAGCCTATAATAATTCATCTGCAGTTTCAGAGTCTTTTAAACATGAGAACATCATCGAATAATAAAAAATCTAGGAACTCCATTGAGTTTTCTGATATACTTTCTGATTATTTTACAATTGTTTAATATTACTGTTAACTCCTTTGAAAATAGATTTTCTGTGCTGATTTTACTGGAAACTATAAATTCTGAAGGACCAAGAATGTCTATTATTCTCTTTCTATTCTTTCTAGCAAATAACAATGTTATGTGATAATAAAGTAGTGGCCTTCTTAAATTAGACACGTGCATAAAATAAACCCTGCTTGTTGGAAACCCAGGTGATTGCCATTAGCCACTTTAGTATCACAGCAGGTTACGTGAATTATTATTATGTCTAATTAGCATTCTGACAAGGAGAGGAATTCTTTACCTGCATTCAGATTACACACAGAAAATGATTTGAAAGCATTTCCTCCTTCAAAAACATCAAAGCAAATCAAAGAACTCGGCTCCAATCTTATCCTTATTATCAAATACCTGGGGATCATTAAACCAAATGACAGAGGAAGAAATGCCAATTACAAATTCTGTTTTAAGATGACATTTGATTTTCCATAGGAGAGTATTATTCCAACTAAAGTTATATTTGACAATGATATTCTATTGTTTAGTAATTACAATTTTGTTGCTTTCTGTTTCTTAATCATGAGCTGACATAAAATGTGACATTTCATATTTATAGAATTATTCAATTTCTATTTGATCATATTCTTGTTATAGCATGTACTAAGTAAATTTGAATTACTGGTTATCACATTAAAATTTCCAGCAACAGTGAGAACTGTAGTGGCCTAGGGTTATATAGATTAATATACTGAAACAGTCCATACTGACAAACAATACTACATATATTGCAGACTGATATAGGAGTAATGTTGCAAAATATCTTTTATGTAACACTAAGTAAACTTGTGCTTAAGTTGAAGCACTTAACAATTATGCAAGTATTTGTTAATAATGATTTATGAATGATATTTAGTAAAATTTTCTCATTTAGCTACTTTATTGGTGCTATACGTCTAATGTAAGACAAAGTAAATCTTGCAAATAATAAACATCTAATTTTCATATGATATATAATATAGGTAGTATTGAGCATTAATTCAGCTAGTTGTTATTGATTTTTTCCATTTCTAACATAGGTATAAATGATAATATTTCATCATTAATTGCTGTGAGGACCATATGTGTTAATACAAGAAGCAATAACAAAAATATTTTCTCACAACAATTACTCAGGAAATGGCAGTAGATAGAATTAATAAGACAAAATTCCCAGAGATCTTTCCTGCGTTTTCAAATCACTGATTCTGGATAATACATTTTTAGACTTCAGCCAATTCCTCTACAAAAATAAGTCACCGAACAAAAGAGCATAGAAAAACCCCTCAAAATAACTTGCAATGTGTCTTTATAAGAATAGTACAAAACAATTAGGTGTTTAGATCATGCGTATCTTATACCTGTACTAAAACCTGAAGTCAGAAAGTTAAGTTCAAAATAACTTGTAAAGAGTAAAGGAAAATGATGCTTAAAAAGAACAAAATAGCTCTATAGGAACAGGCCAGGTGCAGAATTAGAGAAACTATGGGGACAGGTGTGGTGGATCCCAGGGGGAATAACCGATGCAGTAAAAATGTCAAAAGCAGCAGATAAATAAAAAACAGTTACTTCCTGAAGGTAGGAAGCTGCACAACAGTGGAAAGCAGTGTGTGTATGTGTGTGTGTGTGTGTGTGTGTGTGTGTGTGTGTGTGTGTTAGAAATATCAGTGTGTTTAAGTAAAGAAACTCAGGCATCTCAGTTAGGACTTTTTACTTCTATACTTTGTTTTGCATTTGCATATTTTGTATATGATTTAAAATAATGATGAAAATAGTTTCAGCTGCTCCTGGTGATATGCTTGTTTTGTGTCAGGCCCAGGGTCATAAGCAGTGCACAGATGATAATGGTGGCCATGAAATGCATTGTGAGCTCTTTGGGTTGCGCTCTGGGTGAGAGGAAAGAACATGGAGGAGCTCTGTGGTCTTACTGTGCCCTAACGAGACACTCTGGCTGTCGAAGAATAAGCTAAGGAGTTCAGGGACAGAAGCAGGAAGATCTTTAGGACAGGAGGCTCTATCAAAGCATTTTTTACAGGTGATAATTTAACCACGTGTTAGTGGAGCAGACAGGGAAAGAGCTCCGTGCTTGAGCAAATGCTGGAAATACAGCCTTCAATAGTCACAGGTAGGGTGTTTCATATAAAGAAGTGAAAAATATTAATGAAACTTCCCAGTTTGTGGGTTGACAGATGAAAAGAATATACCTCATATCTATTACAATAGGGGATAATGAAAGAAATTCATTTCAACAGTAAGATATGGAGTTTGCTTATGGTGATAAGGTAGAAAAAATTTTAATCTACACTCTTAGAGTTTGGGCTTAGGTCTGAGGATTAAACTGACATAAAACAGATGAACAAAGGGAAAAGCATAGAAATATAATGTAAGTTTTATATTAAATGGGAGCGCTCATAAAGAAATGTAAGAATCAAAGCACCAATTAGAATCAAACACTTATGTACTGAGTCAAAGAGCCATAATTTGTGAAAAGTGACTTGGGTTCAGGTCATACTCACAGAGAAGTGAGGCAGAAGATGGCTTAAAGTGTTTGTTTTTACCGATGTGATTCAGACTCAAGTCCCTGTATCTGATGATAAGAATGCTACTTCCTCTTGCTAAAGGGAGGACATCTCTCTTAGGGAATTTTATATTCTAGTCTCAAGGAGAAAAAGTACATCAATGTCTTTCTTGCATCTATTTTTCAAAAGCTTTACTGTAAAGCAATGCTTACCTTAAAGTGGCATAGTTTGGGGGGTGAGATATATTGTTACCCCTGGTGGAAATGTTATATTGAAGGATTTGTTAGAGTATGATAAATACATATGCCTCTCTCTGTCTCTCTCTCTCTCTCTCTCTCTCTCTGTCTCTCTCTCTCTCTCTCTCTCTGTCTCTCTCTCTCTCTCTCTCTCTCTGTGTCTCTCTCTCTCTCTGTCTCTCTCTCTCTCTCTCTCTGTCTCTCTCTCTCTCTCTCTCTATATATATATATATATATATATATACACACACACACACATATATAGATATATATCTTTTAAAGCATTGTTTTTAATCGGTACCAGGGATCGAACTCACGACTGCCTGCTTGCAAGGCAGGCGCTTATGCTGCTGAGCTAAATCCCCAGTCCCGTTTTAAAGCATTTTAAGTAACCTATTGTTCAGTAAATGTTATCAGACTGATCAAAAAATTTTAAAACTTCAAAAAGTTTGTACAGATTTTAGCTTATAGACATCACTTAAATGAATATAAATCTCCAGGAACTGTAAAAAAGTAAATAAGATATAAAGCTATTTTTGTCAAAGTTATGTTATTCATATACCTAGCCGAGGCTCTCCTAACAAAGTCAAAATAAAGATACAATCCTTCTCAGATAATATGAGAAAAAACTATATTTAAGCAAAATTTTTTCAGATGAAATTTTTTTTTCTGAAACACCAAGGATCCCCAGAGAGATACTTTGTGGTTAATATATGTAAAGCCCTACAAATATACTTGTGAACTGTTACAGATACAGAATGTGAAAATTGCTGCCGTTATTTTATTCCATTATGAAAATATTCTAAGTGCAAAATTTCCAACCTAGATGAGCTGAAGAATAAAAATCTAATTCATAGAGGGGAGGCATGAGCGGTTTACGAAGCCAGCAGCTAGCAGGGAGACTGTATCACGTGCCAGTGGAGCTCCCCATTATGCGCCTACTTCACTTCTCCTTTTCTGTCCCCAGAGACAAATTCTTCTCTTCCTTCATCATAGAATCAAAAAGTCCTACAATTTCATAGTGTAAGCATTCATAGGACTGGCACTTTTGCTGTCATAATTTGTTATTAGAAGTGAGGATGCAGCCATTCCTATTTCAGAAAAGTATCCACTCATTAGACTAGGAAGAGGGCCCTTGGACCATGGGCCCAGGTGCTCATCCACACACCATGGATGGCTCATTCACGGAGCGGTGTCCAAAAATTTACTCTTTTATAAAAAAAGAATAAAGAAGCTAGGAGGACATCAGAGGGAAATGAACTTGCAGGGGAAAAAAGTGAATTAGCAGGCGAGAGAGTGGGATTAAGATGAGAGAAAAACGTAGATCGCACACATACAAATTATACATATTTTAGCTTTTTGCTATTCTCAGTTAAGAGATTTATCAGTAGTAAAGTAACAAACATGCTGGCATTTTCTTCATGTATTGTTCTCAGATTAAAATATATAAATACACATACATATCTCTCTAATGTGCATCTTCTTTTGCCTCAAAAGATAACATTTGTTAAAAGAAAAGACAAAAAGCTGCCAAGATATCCATTCTTGTCTCCCTTCCTCTCCCTTCTGGCTGCTCCTCACTTCCGAGGTTTGAAATCTGGTTGAGGCTGGGCAGCAGGACAGCTCCTCTCAGGTGACGTTAGCCGCAATGACAGGCATCTCTTCAGTGGAGGCATTGTGTCACTCCCCTTCAAGACCCAGGGAGAGGACAGAGGCCAGGTTAGAATTTTATGTGCCCTACCCATGAAACTACTTTGGCTGCCAACCTAGGAATCAAGCTAAGATGAACAAAGTCTGTTCTGCCCCTGATTGATATAAGAACAACACCACCAGTGAGTGAGGTGTCTCTGCCCATTGCCAGGGGATAATGTGTGTCTGTTTATAAGCAGAATATATATATATATATATATATATATATATATATATATACACACACACACACACACAAGAGACATTTAAATCACATTATTATTTTCTTAGGGATTCATTTCATTGCCATGTGAAGTCTGAGTTAATTGTAGATGTGAATTTTGGACTAATGAAGGAAGCATCACTACTGCAGTCACTAGATCCTATTTACTTGTGAATGACTGTCCACATCATTTACAGCACTTCCTTTATCAAATAGCCCATCTCATGAGTACAGTACTTCCCTGATATGCTTCATAAGTACAGTACTTCCCTGATATGAAGATTGAGTGTGCAGAAAAATATTATCTGAATTCTTATATTTGGAGAGCCATGAAATTATAGTCAATTTCTCTTTCATTCATACTTTCAGATAATATTTTCCATTAGCTTTCCTCATTTTACTAATCTTTTTTCAAAAAAACTATTATTTATTGTCAATGTACAGGAACTGAGGGGGCTAAAACATTTTTATTATCTAGAGAATAGATAATGGTTTAAGTTATTTATGAATAAAAACCTGAACTCGAGATTTATTGAAATACAGTTTATTTATAAGGTATTAATTTGAATAAGTGATTTGGAAAATATTGTTTTATTATTAACTTACTTCAAGAAAATCCATTAAACTTAGAGAACGTAAGTATTTTAAAGTGAACATCTAGAGAATATTTATCTATCGATCTACTTATATATATATACATATATATATATATATATATTTAATCTATGCTTACTTTATATAGATAATGGAATTTCTACATAGATGTTGGTGCAACTCATTTGAGACTTAAACTTTATATTCTTAAGAATTCTCTTTGGATACTATACTTTTTCTTATCACCTATACATTTCCATAAATTGAATTGAATACGAAAATATGAGCAATTAATTTTTAAGAAGTGAAAGGATTCATGTTTTGTTAAAAATAAATTGTCATTCTGAATTGAATCTTCATATTAACAGCTTTCATTATTATCACAGTTTAGAATTTATATCGCAGTCATTTCCAACTGCCTAGAGCTTTTTCACGATCTAACAAATGCAAAACTACATTAGAAATTCTATGCCTGTCTGATTGCCTTGAAAACTGTGAGGATGTCTTTAGAATATAAGGCGTGAATCATTAAAGGATTTATTTTGTATTTTGACTGCTGAAAATATTTGGAAATTCATTTTAAAATGTTGCAAAGCATGCTAGTATCTCGTGGGTTTTTACTTCCAAACCTCACATACTCAAAGAATGAATTCTCATTCACAATATTCTACATGAGCAAAAGGTACACAGAATGGCAGATAAGACAATTTTCTCTTAAGTATAACTTTAAGTTGCTTTAGGAAAGAAGCCAATATTTATGCTTAAAAAGCTAAATAAAAAACATATGCATATACTTTGCAGAGGGTATGTTAATTTAGCTCTTGTTCTAATACTGTTTCACCTGAATTTTCTCAAATTTCTTTAAATCTTGCATAACTACTCTTAGAGTAATATAAAAAACTGATTTTTAAAATTCAAACTTGTACACTGGATCACGAGCTTGTACAGTTCTGAATAATGTGTTAGTTTCATTGTCTTATAAGAACTGAGGAAATTATAAAGCATATATGCCCCAAACTTTTGTTTTATTTTTGCAGGAGAGTAAATGAATACAGTACATGGGAAATAACTTCTTAAATCGTAGAATTGTTATCTGTAATATAGGCAAAATAATTGTGATCAGAAATTGAAATTATTTCACCTGACATTTGTCTTGGAAAATTCCAAACTCAATATAAACTCGAAGGCAGATGTATTATTAGTTTCTTTAAAATTTGTTGGGCATTGTTTGCTATTAATTTTACTAGCCTTTCTTCCCTTACATAGTAATAACAATATTATTTTATTGAGAACATTAATAACCTCTTTTTAACGTATGTCTAACTAGGAAAGTAGGTATACTGGGACAAAAGTTAAATGACTGTTTATATATTAAAATAGTGAAAATAAACAGCTGAAATTTAGTGTCAGGAATTTAAGTTAGAACCGTCAAAACGGAGAGTATGTGGAAGTCTGATACAGTCCTCCCAACACCTCTTTAAAATTGCAAAACAGAAACAGGAATCTCTGACAATTAGATATATTAAAAACTATGCCTAGTATCTAAACCAATGTTTTTTCCCTTTTTTGTCAACGCTGTGCAATTGAACAGAGAATTCTATGTTTGGCAGATGTCTGTGGTCTAAATTTGGAGTAACTTCCTTCATTCTTTTCTCCTGTAACCTAACTGGGGAAAAGATTCAATAAAATAGGAAAAAAGGTCAGATATACATTGGATATGAAGAAGAACAGTCTTATAAAAATGACACTTGTCCATGGGTATGAAACTTAATCAAACTGAAAACTCAGGACTGGCTATAACCAAGAGTAATCAAGAGGTAGCGAAGTCTAGTCAGTATCATTGCTTTTTACATTTTTCAGTAGCTCTCATTATCTACAAGGAGAAAATAATTTAACTGGTTCGCAAGGATACAGGAAAAAGCACAATGTGCATCCCCCACACACAGATTAGTTGGCAGAATTTAATTTGAGGTATAGATGTGCTCCTTAGAGGATGAATAATGGGTAAGAAAATAAAGTTGGACTCATGGAAATATACTGCAGTCTGATAAAGAGGAAACCCTATCTTGGAAGTAAAAGAAAAAGTGTACCTCTTAAAAATGATTTATTGTAGTAATATTTTAGAAATCTACTGGGTATTTTAATAAGATTCAAGAAGACTCAGTAAGTACTTGCGCAGACATAAGGAAAGAACATCTTTAAGATAAAAAATAGAGACCACAGATCTTGTGTATGTAGAAAGTAACAGAAAGAGATTTATTTTTAAAATAGGATGCAGAAATTGAAGTGTCCAAGAAGAACCAATAAGCCAGAAGAATCATTTCCATAAATGAGGAAAAATATAGCCCTCATCGGTAGGTGAGACCTTGTCATTGGATCTGTCTCATAAACATGACTCAGCTACTCAGCCCTTGGATTCTGTTATGGATTAAGAACTGGTGGTCAACTTAACGCCAGCTGGATTACATCAGCAAGGCATTGAGTGAAGATGCTCGAACTGAGGATAGTTGCCAGGATAAATAGATGGAGAAGAAGGGAGGTATTGAGAGTTGAGGCGTTAAGGAGGCATTGTGGTTTCTCTTACCAGTTGCTGCCCGAGCTGTTGGTTCTCCTGGAGAAGCTTTGGTCCTCACATTGAGCATTGCTTCCTGGCTCTGGAGGGGAAGACATGTGCTGCTTGGTCTCCAGGATGAACCCGTCACGCTGCTTCTTGGCAGGTACCTGACTGTGCTTGTCGGAGGAGGAGCTTGGGGCTTCCCTGTCACTGAGGACAGCTGTGGTGCCATTAGGGATAGCCCTGATCTTTGCTGTGAGTGTGACTTCTCTGCTCCAACGTAGAACCCTCATCCCACTAGCACACTGCTTCATTCTGCTGATATAGACTTTCTGGCTTCCACTGCTGACCCTTGGGTCTTCCTGGCACGGATCCGTACAAGAGACTGGCATGAGTCCTTCTTGTGGCTCTGGACCTCCAGTTGGACTTGTGGGAGGCATAGTCCTAAGTTCTGGGTTTTTATCTGGACTCATGTGGGACATTGCTGTGGGATTTAGGCTCTTGACTAATCTTTATCTTTGGTGTTGCAAATAGATTTCCTGCATTTTCCTGTGTTAAGTTCTGGTGACCATTATAAAAATATTATAAACTCCATGTCCTGGTCGTGATTGTTCTCTGTGTACAACCCCTGACTGCAACAGATTCCGTGGGTCAAATTCTGGATTGATAATTACATGGGATGCACCAGCCCTAGGACTGTGTCACATGGTCTCATGGGTGGAATGAGTTAAAGTTCAAGTGAATGTGACTCCACAGAGAGCACAAAGCTGTAGGTAGCGACAAAAAGTCTTTAATGATGTTGGCTGAAATGACACAGCAGTTCTAGTGCATCCCAAGTCCCCAAACATTGACCCTACTTGCAGAGAGAATTTGCCTCACAGCCAAAGCAGTGGTAAGGAGAGTGAAGTGGTATAATGCAAAGAAATGGGTTTGATTTTAAATGTTTTGATTATGAGAAGCAGGAAAAATGATAATAGGTATGTATCCAGAAAAATTAAGCATTCTTAAGAAGGTACAATTAGAATTTTAACAATAGTGAAATACATAGATATTTCTACAAGATTTAAATAATTTAAAAATAATACATTGAATGTCTGTCATTAATGAAATTAATAAAATTATATTTGCATCCAGGAATTGTTGGAATTGTTCTTATTGGAAGGCATAAAATTATTATTTGTAAATTTACTCAAGAAAAAGAATTTATTTTTAAAAAGAAAAAGACACAGAAAAATCAAGAAGCAATCAAGCAAATAAAAATAACAACAGCAAAATGACAACAAAGAAAAAGAATTTAGAAAGAAAGGAATGGCATGGTCATCTGACTCCAAAAGCCCAGCTCTAATTACCATTACTCAGTAAAGAAAAATTATGAATTTTAGACAGTGCTTGTGACTTTACATTGCTCCCCAAGAATTGGTCTTATCAGCCAAGTTGAATTGGTACAATCATACAAGACAGGAAACACATTATAAAAAGTAAAGTGGAAATAACCCAATGTGTAAAATAAGAAATATGACAGTACAAAGCCAAAACATCAATTGTGCCAATGATTATATATGTTTTAGCATCTTTACTAAAAAAGAAAAATCCCAGACTGCATTAAAATTCTAAATAGACAAACACCTCTAAAACAAAATAACTTAGTGGTAAAACCAAACTTCAAGTTGCCTGCTTCGCCTCCTTGTACGAACACGTAATTGGCATTGGCAAATACACCCTGTGACAGAAGTGCTCGTTGTTGCATATATAGGAAAATACCTTTCATGTTCTTTGTCATAACTGCCACAAATCTTAGAAGCCTTT